ATCTATCTATCTATCTATCTATCTATCTATCTATCTATCTATCCTCTGTGTTCTTCTTTGATACTGCTATAAAAGACTTGACACTCTGTGACTCGGGGAGCCAAATTTCATTTACCAGTCCAACAGAAACGAATCCTAGTCCTTGACCGGGCGTTTTGGAGGTCGAGAGTTCGTTTCATGGATGTATCCTTCAGTTCATGAGTGTAATCTTTACGAAAATCCCTGGGGATAGCCGTTGGAGCTACGGAGCTCACGCTTTGTGCGACTCTTTTCATGTGGCTGAGAAAGACTAAACCATTTGGGATAATACTGTGCAGTTAGTCGATCCTCCCGAATTCAGCATTATTTAGTCAACACAGGGGATACAATCTAGCAAAATAAACGTTTAATGTCTAGTTACATCCCTTTTTATTTCATTGAAGGGGGGCAAATGTGCCTTCTGTGGCGTAAGGAGTTGCAAATATACTTCGTTATTCCGAGGTGCGGGTTCAATCCCACTTGTGGATGATTTGGCAGCAGACCGCCTAGCGTTGATTTTGATATTGGTATCGAGAGCCGACTGTTTACAGAGCAATGGCAAACTACTAAACGTATTAATGCAAAGTCAAACACAAACAAAAGGTAAACAGTAAGTAAAGAACACTTTTCCCACGCCTTGAGGTGTATTAGGCATATAGGGCTAGACATATATTTTTTGATCAATCAGCACTTGCTGGTTAGTGTGGTCAACATCAGCCGCATTTACTTCCCATGACTTCACCTAGTACTCACTCAAGACTGCGTCGACCTGGATGCCAATATAGTTGTTGAAGAAAGCCCAATTCCGTCAGGGTCTGAACCCACGACCTTCCGATCGGCAGGCGAGCGTCTAGCCGCTAGACCACGGCGACTCAAAAGCCACAAGAAGCATTTCCACTAGCACATACAAAAATAATCTTAAACAATGTCACACATCTGGGTGTCACTGGAAAGATTCCGTGTCAGCAGACGTGAGTGGTAGGCAGAGACTGACACACAACGGCTGTCCACAAATGAGCACTCCGTTTTCTCCTCGTCCCCAGCTTGGGGAGGTCGCTGGATTAAGTTTGTGGCTACAGTACCACCAGCAGCATCCCCAGGCGCGTACGAGGGGAATCAGTTGGAATCCGTCAAGGGATGCTTAAGCCTGAGTACTGAATGCGCACTTGTTAGCACAACAGTCAGGAGCTGGGGATAGAAGATGGCGGTTGGGTCTGCAGTCAGTAAAGTCTACAGGGGGTACAAGATGGCGACTGGGTCTGCAGTCAGTAAAGTCTACAGGGGGTACAAGATGGCAGTTGGGTCTGCAGTCAGTAAATTCTACAGGGAATACAAGATGGCGGTTGGGTCTGCAGTCAGTAAAGCTTACAGGGGGTACAAGATGGTGGTTGGGTCTGCAGTCAGTAAAGCTTACAGGGGGTACAAGATGGCGGTTGGGTGTGCAGTCAGTAAAGCTTACAGGGGGTACAAGATGGTGGTTGGGTCTGCAGTCAATAAAGCTTACATGAGGTACAAGATAGCGGTTGGGTCTGCAGTCAGTAAAGCTTACAAAGAATACAAGATAGTGGTTAGGTCTGCAGTCAGTAAAGCTTACAGGGGATACAAGATGGTGGTTGGGTCTGCAGTCAGTAAAGCTTACAGGGGATACAAGATAGCGGTTGGATCTGCAGTCAGTAAAGCTTACAGGGAATTCAAGATGGCGGTTGGGTCTGCAGTCAGTAAAGCTTACAGGGGGTACAAGATGGTGGTTGGGTCTGCAGTCAGTAAAGCTTACAGCGGGTACAAGATACTGGTTGGGTCTGCAGTCAGTAAAGCTTACAGGGGGTACAAGATGGTGGTTGGGTCTGCAGTCAGTAAAGCTTACAGGGGGTACAAGATGGTGGTTGGGTCTGCAGTCAGTAAAGTTTACAGGGGATACAAGATGGCGGTTGAGTCTGCAGTCAGTAAAGTCTACAGGGGGTACAAGATGGCACTTGGGTCTGCAATTATTCAAACTTAGTAATAGCAGTAATAGTAATTAAAAAAATAGTAGTAAAACAGCAGAAATAATAATAATAATAATGTTGTGGTTGGTTCTGCAACGTCCTATCTTCTTCTTCCTCTTCTTCTTCTTCTTCTTTTTCTTCTTCTTCTTCTTCTTCTTCTTCTTCTTCTTCTTCTTCTTCTTCTTCTTCTTCTTCTTCTTCTTCTTCTTCTTCTTCTTCTTCTTCTTCTACTTCTTCTTCTTCCTAATGTTCTTCTTCTACAACAACAACAGCAACTACTACTACTACTACTACTACTACTACTACTACTACTACTACTACTACTACTACTACTACTGCTGCTGCTACTACTACTACTACTACTACTACTACTACTACTACTACTACTACTACTACTACTGCTGCTGCTGCTGCTGCTGCTGCTGCTGCTGCTACTACTACTATTACTAGTACTATTTCTTCTTCTTCACTTCCTCTTTTACTGATTTGGGTGTCAAGAAAGATTTAAGGTTCTGTTTCTTGCTCTTTTGGTCACCTCGACCATCGACACATCGTTGATTCACCGACAGTCAATAAGACACTTTCAGAAGAACTAAACTAGAATACATAAATCTGTTACCAGCTGCGCCGTCTCAAGGAATTAAATAAATGTACACATACTTAAAGGCTTCTCTCGGACCCTGCGATGTTGTATCATATTTTGGTAGGATCACACGCCGTTCATTACTAGTAGCGTTAACGCTACCCAGTGGGCTAACTATCGGCTCTGGGGTGCAGGTTTTGAACCACCAACCCGTAGCTGTCAACTGAGCACAGTTTTTCGTGGGCTCCAAGTCTTGATCTTTATCGTGAGTAGAAAATGGCGTATTCTGGCAGGGGTTGAAGGGGTCACCCAAGTCGTAGACCTTAGTATTTCCAGAGCCGCTAACACTTCTGCTGCCGCTAGCACCTGTCCCAACAGTGTAAGAGTAGCCTGTAGTATTGTCAGAAATACTGAAACTATAGTATTCTTTGTATACTTTTCCATTCACATAAGCTGAAGAGAAAATTAAGTGGATGCCGATGTTGGCATACCCTTTTTTGTTATAAGCATAGATATTTTCCAGACCCAGCCAATAGTTGTCTCCATTGTAGAAAAATCCATTGACATAGTCGTCCCAGCTTCTGTTATAGTTAAACTGGCCTGTGTGTTTCAGAAGACCCACTTCCTCGCTGTTGGATCCCACATTGCAGGCTGTATTGACCAACTTGGAATTATTTCTGTGGATGTCGATTGGAAAGACCTGGGTGCCGCTGGTGTAGCCGAAGTTCGATAACTCGCTGCAGCTGTATGGTCGTCTTTCACACCGGTTACCCACCCATCCTCGAGTCCCTGAACAGTCGCATGTTGCAGGACTGACCTGTGTACCTGCATTTTGGCAAAATGGGGCAGCAGTTGTCAGTTGGGCAGTTGATGTTGCAAATGTCGTAGACGAACTTGTTGTCTGGTCGGGTGTCGTGGTGCTACCTGCAGTGGAGGTTTCAAATGTCGTAGACGAACTTGTTGGCTGGTCTGGTGTCGTCGTTCTACTTGTTGTGGATGTTGCAAATGTAGACGAACTTGTCTGGTCTGGTGTCGTGGTGCTACCTGTAGTGGATGTTTCAAATGTCGTAGACGTACTTGTTGGCTGGTCTGGCGTCGTGGTGCTACTTCTAGTTGTTGTGGTAGCTGAAGATGTTGTAGTAAAAGAATTTGGGCTTTCCTTGTTATAATATCGAAAGTCAGGGTCCGACGATGGGCATGCTTGAACAAGCGTGCATGCCTTTCCTTTGTAACACGATTTATAACGGGCAGAGATAAGCGTACCCGAGCAGCCATTATCCCGGCTACAGGCTGTGAAACACTCGAGCTGATTTCGAAGATTCATAATTTCTTCAAAACACCCGTTGTCTATTCTATCCCTTACATTACATAAACTCTTTAGAGAAAATGAAGTTAAAAATAAACACCACATTTGTCCGAAATTGCTGAAAACAATTAGTTGACTCAAAGTTTTCAAATAGGACATTTTCGTAGGCAACGAAACAAACTTTAAATTTCAGGCCAATATTTACAGTTAATTTATGGATATGGTCGGCGCTTGTGAATTAGGGGTTGCGAACACAGTTTTTTAATTCCGAAGTGCTCTGATCGATTAATCTACAGGCAGTATGTCTAGTTTAGAAAATGGTACAGAGCGCCTGCCATTTAGGGGCATTGAAAAGCTGCTGAACGTAACAATGTCCAGACAAATCATAACAGCTAACAAATGTCCTTCGTAATGCAATGGCAAACTACTGGATGTACATTTGCCTAGAAAAACCCACAACAGCCAGGGGCTGTTGGTATTGGTTCTGCGACGTCCTGTAAAGGATACGCAGCTAACCTTAACAAATGTCGGGGTTAATTCGCAATGTCCTTTAAAGGGTATACAATAACTGTATTTATGAAAATGTATATACGTTCGTAAACACGTATCTCACAGGATAAGCATTCTTTATATAAAGCACGGGTACTCGAATACGCGGAGGTGATACAAAGCCTGTGATCTTTTGTCGCCAATAAAGTCAATTCTCCGCCTGTGATGTCTTCACCCTGGTCAAATGCCAAGCTGCGAAAATTTCGCTCCGTCTGTTTTTACGCGCACAGTAGCGGCAGGAACACATTGGTGTATACGTGCGCAAACATAAACTAAATCAGTGTCCACTTTGTAAAATATTTAATTTCGCTATCTGGCAAGTTCCTGCTTGATCATTCTGCCCGTGACTTTAACGAGGTAGCAAGTACGTACAAATATACCATTCGTGACCAGTTGCCGAAAGCATGCCAATCGTCTGCAAACGCCAATTTTTATACCTGCCCCGCCAAATCCAGGTTCCGGTCGTTGCGTAAACCACAACACTGCGAGATGCATGTCTCCGCCAGGGGCGCGAGAACCTCGGGGTTCAGGTACATTGAGCCCCCCTACCCCCCCCCCCCCCTAAGAGTTTTAGGAAAATGGAATGGAGGAGGGATGAATAAGCGACGTTCAAACCCATCAGGAACGCACAAGAAGAGATTAACACCCGATGAGTGACACAAAATGCCACCAGTGGGATGAGAATCAACCAAGCGCAAATCACTAAACCCCGTTAAACTGTAACGTTATAAAAGCCCCCCCCCCCGCCCCTTTTTTTCTCTCTTCCCCGACGACAGATGAGGTGGGGCTTTACAAAAATTTTTATCGCATATTGAAACGTAGTTGGTAACACAGGAGATAATCATTGGGTGGTGGGGAGGGATGAGCACGTCCAGAGAAGGTGCAATGTGACTAAGTGGCATCGATAATCAACTAAAGTATTTGTAGATGAATTTACTATTTTATCAAAAAAGTTAATTATATTAATTTTCTCATTCAGCGTAAATTTATTATTATTATTATTATTATTATTATTATTATTATTATCATCATCATCATCATCATCATCATCATCATCATCATTATTATTTTCTTCATTATTATTATTATTATTATTATTATCATTATTATTTTCTTTATTATTATTATTATTATTATTATTATTATTATTATTATTATTATTATTATTTTCTGTATTATTATTATTATTATAATCACTATTTTTTTTTTTTATTATTATTATTATTATTATATTATTATTATTATTATTATCATCATCATCATCATCATCATCATCATCATTATTTTTTGTATTATTATTATTATTATTATTATTATTATTATTATTATCATTATTATTTTCTTTATTATTATTATCATTATTATTTTCTGTATTATTATTTTTATTATTATCATTATTTTGTTCTTGATTATAATATTATTATTACCATTATTTTTTTCTTTATTATTATTATTATTATTATTATTATTATTATTATTATTATTATTATTATTATCATCATTATCATCATCATTATTTTCTTTATTATTATTATCATTATTATTTTCTTTATTATTATTATCATTATTATTTTCTGTATTATTATTTTTATTATTATCATTATTTTGTTCTATATTATTATTATTATTATTATTATTATTATTATTATTATTATTATTATTATTATTACAGGTTCCACTTCTGTCTTTGCAATGAAACCTATTTAATATGAACTCCAAGGTACCCCCCCCCCCCCCCCCCCGAAAAAAAAAGAGTTCACGTTAGAAAATTCCTACTAACAGGGGACAAATGGATTTATTATGAATAATTCACAGAGGTATTTTAAAAATTACACAAACATAGGGACCAAAATGTTGTTTGTGTTAACAGAGCGTTCGTCGTAAGCGAGTTGTTATAAACAAAATTTTACTCTGTTAGTATTAATGTGCAGTTAAATAAGTCTTAGGCCCATTAAGACGACTACTTTAATCCCTCCCCCCAACCCCTAAGAACATGCCCCCCCCCCCCCCCTGGTAATTTTCCGATAGGGGCCTGACGGCTCTAAAAGGTATAAGCCTTGTTTAAGTGCGCAAAAAATTTGTTAAATTATTATTATGTCCTAAACTGCAACATATAATAATATGGTTGAAATTACATGAAATGTATAAACAAGCAAACAGCCAGAGACCGCATGTAGATATTTAAGGGGGCTCCTTAACGTCTTGAATATTTGTAGGGGTGGAGGGTTCACTTTAGGGTCACTAAAACAATTTGAGGGAGGTTCTCAATCTGCCTGAACCCCCAAGTTCCTTCGCCTATGGTGGTGATGGTAGTACTGGTTGTGGTAGTAGTGGTAGTAGCTGTGGTTGTGGTGGTTGTGGTTGTTTATTTTAGGTTTGGTAAAGGTTTTAAACAACAGATCTACATCGTGGCACAAGGGTAGTAACCCATGAGTGATCCGTTCTACTTTTAACTCACACCTGAGTCCGAGGGCAGCGCAGTGCACGAATTCCGTGGCATCAGCGGGAATCCTGAACTCTTTGGGTTGATTTTAAACTGCAAATTTTGCCTGAGCAGCGCCGTTTGGCCACTCTTTTCGATTTCCACCTGCCAAGGGATTGTTTTACGTGCGCAACAATACACACGTTCCGGCGCATATGGTGGTGGTTGTGGTGATGGTGGTGGTGGTAGTAGTAGGATGACGAGAGGCACGAATAAACGTCAAGGAGGAAGAAAAAAAAATGGTTAATTCGGGATAAAACAACAATGATATATGTATCATTTACTTAGTATGCTTATATTCAAAGGGGGAAACAATATTCAATATGATAATTATATCATAACACATACGGTAGTATGTATATACAGTAGAACCTCGCTTGACGAGCATCTCTCATAACGAGTAATTCGCATAACGAGCAAAACAAATTGTAAAAGAATGACTCGCTTAACGAGCGACATTTCGCATAACGAGTGGCGAGGAGAAGTGAAGTCCCGGATATTGCGCATGTTACATCAGTGTTTAGCACTCGTTCCAGTAGCACTGTCGCTTGTGATCACACATTTTCTCAAACTTGTGTTATATTGTGATATATGTACATGAATCCTCCAGGCCTACAAGATGACCTCCCTGAAGAATTTAAGTTCAAGATCCAGTTTCTGCTTCCCAACACCACTCCGTTACTCCAGCCCATGGACCAGCAAGTTATTTTTAACTTCAGGAAGCTCTTTATTAAAGTACTCTTCGAGCATTTTTTTTCAGGCGACTGAAGGGACCAACCTCACTCTCAAAGAGTTTTGAAAAAAATAACTTCTACATCGTTTGCCTGCCTCAAGATGATTGACAAGGCGGGGGAAGAGGTTACCAAGAGAACTCTTAACTTCTTTTTGGAAGCAGCTTTGGCCGGAGAGTGTTGTCGGTTTGTGACTTTGAGGGGTTCGAGACAGTACCTGTGAAACCTGTAGTCAACGAGATTGTGTCTTTGGCTACTATCATGAGATTGTAGTTGGATAACAGTGATATCGAAAAGCTTGTGGAAGAGCACAGCCAAGAGCTGACAGACAAGAGCTTATGGAGTTGCACTGTGTTTCACAGCAAGAAGTTTTGGAGGAAAGTTTGTCAGAGGAGGAGAAGGAAGAGAAGGTAAAGTATCACCCTAATAAGGAAGTTGCTATGCGCGCTGCAAATTTATTGAAAATGCTGTGTCCCATTTTCGCCAAATTTTGAAGTGTTGACAAAAACAAAAGTCTCTAGACATCTTTCTAGTAAAAAAAAAAATTATTAGCTATGTATCATAATTATTTCAACTTTTTTTTTCTGCAAATTGAATTCGCATTCCATGTGGGTTAGTTCCGCGTTTGAAGAAAATATGAAGACGATTCACTCTCCTTAAATATGTATATAAATTTCTTTGAATAAATGTTATAGTATAACTCATACATAGCATTTTGTGAGTTTTTTTTTTTTTCGACACGGAACGCATTATCGTATTTTACATTAATTTATATGAGAAAAATTGCTTCGCATAACGAGTGTTTCGCTTAACGAGTATGAGTCTGGAACGAATTATGCTCGTTAAGCGAGGTTCCACTGTATTTACAGTTTAGAAACACAACATTTAGTATGGATACATACAACATTCAGCACGAGTATATACAACATTCATTACAAAATAAACAATATTCAGTATGAGTAAAAAGGCAAAAGGTAAAGTCGGAAGATGTGAACCAGCGTCATTACACGCGTTTCTAAACCATAAGTGCTCTGCCACCAGTACGGACAGCTGATAAGAAACTTTCCGCACGCAACTCCGTAGCTAGAGCGACGTTCCTCTATTTACCCCAGAGTGTTAACAGCTGGATTTGAAAGCGAGCCTCATATCGACTGCGCTTGTGGGTTCCGGGCCCCATTGTAGGGGAAAACAAGAATAGACCCACTGCCTCCCCAAAAGCATGTCGTAAGAGTCGACTAATTGTGGAGTCGGAGTGC